TATGCATTTATATCAACACAGCTATCATGGAACAAAACTAGGTTCCTGGTTTTACCAATGCAATGAAGTGTTAAAATTCATACAAAAGTTACCTCATTTTTTTAGAAGTGGAGAATCAAAACTTGTAGCAACGTAATTTTGTGATCAAAATATTTTTTTTGATATGGCTGCATATCACCATTTGCTATATCACTAAGAAATTCTATATGTGTTCTAGCAACTGCCCACTTTCTTAAAGATTAAAAGAATCCATGAGATTCCATTGTGATAACACCACAGATTTTTTTTTTAGGTTGACACTTACTTCAAATGTGATACTTTAATCATCTCGATGGGCGATTCATCATTTCCTCGTTCGCCACGAAAAGCAATGCTCCTACCTTTAATTGCAAATATTAAAGAAAACGTGAAAACAGCATATAAAACATGAAAGAAACAGAAAACCATACCAGTACAATTTAATCAATCCTACTCTCTTTCTGTTCATTCTTCTAAGCTGTTTCTAATAATCTAAACTAAAAAATTACAAGTTAATGATCAATAATATATTACTTATATTCAAATATCTATTTCATAAAAGACATTTTCATTTGTTATAATTTCTCAAATTCTATAATTCAATTTTAAAAATTTAGAAATACCAATATCTAAAGTTTTAAGGAATCTATGGTAAAGAAATTGTCTACTGTAAAACCTACTTGCATATATAAAGTAATATAAATATTCCCATGTTTCCAAATACTAACTAGTGGGGAAAAAACTATTGAAACACATATTTAAGATTTTCTTGTCCCATGTGCAAAGTACTAACTAAAATATTTTGAACATGTTTCTGAAAAAAATCTCTATAAACTGAAATTAGGGAATAACTACAGTGTTCATGTATGCTGTATGAGAACTAGCTTACTACATAAGAAGCTAAATGATTTTCTGCAAATGAAAAAATATAAATTCTACCTTATGTCTGGACAAATATATTTTAGTATCTTTCCTCAGATTTTTATGTACATTAAACAGAAGAGAGTACACACTCTTGTCAAAGACCACTGAATGCCTCAACTCTTCCCTGCTCTTCCTTGCCATGAAGTAGAATCTCACTATGCTCATTGTTGGTATACCCTAAACACCCATGTCCTTTCCTGCTCTGCTAGTCTGTTGCCCTCCTTAGAAGACAAGGCTATAAAGTGTTTAATCTATGAACTAAAATATCCCACTTAAAGAAGTCAGTAACTATTTCTACAGACATTTGTTCCTCAAAAATAAATCTGTGAAAGACAGACTTTAAGTTACCTAATAGTCCTAAACCTGAGCCCAACTGAAAAAAATGAACACAAATTTTTTATTGAATGATATTAGACAATGGCATTTTTTCCCTGAGATACTACGTAACTAGAGAGAGCCAGTGCCAGTTTCCCGGCAAATGAGGAATCTAGGAGTGAGGCTAACTAGGTAGGTCACTTCCAATGATACTAGAGCAACACTGGACCAAAGATGGGGCTGATCCCTTGAGGTTTAGTAACATACTCTAATAAGTAAGAACAACTATATCTTTGAGAGCTTAGAAAAATATATATGGACAGGATAAGAAAGCAACCGTACACTTGATTTATTATACACATATGTACACACATACATATATTCTCATTGGTCAAAATCATGTATAAATATTCATATTACTATATCATTTTAAAGAAACTCATTGTAATTTTGTTTTAAAAAATCTACTAGAAATCACTGTATGTGCTATAAAACAACTTGAAATGCTCACCTTATATTTTCAAGTTCTTCATTTTGAAACTCATTGGATTGTAGGTTTTTACCAATTCAGAACAAGTTACTTTATTGGAATGTTTTCTATTTTAGTCTTCAAACTCCCAATTGAATTTTCCCTATTTAGCAGCCAGACACTAGCAAAAGTTTTAAATTTGAACATTTAAAAACAATCCTTAACCTACAAGTTTTCTAAGGGTTTCCTACAAAGAAGAAAGTTTTAAACAGAGAATAAAGTCTAATGACAAAGCGTTATTTTAAAATTGGTTTTTTGGTTATATGTAACAATGCACTTAAAAGTAGACCTGGTATCATATTTTCTAAAAAGTCTGTCTGTTCAACCTAATGGTGCTCCATTTTACCATGTATTTATGTTAACGAAATTTCCAAACAATGAGACTTTTCTATGGCAATTATTACAGAACAAAGAATAAATATATAAACATGGAATAAAAGAAAAACCTCCCAGGTGGAAAAAAAGTACTTTGGAATAAGTTTTATAAACAGCAACATCTCCTCTTACTGGCCAGCTGCAAAAATAAATAAATAAATAAATAGCAACATTTTCGATCAATATGACAAACTACTTTGAATCTTTTTTTTTTTAAACACACCTGTTGGAAGATCAACCAATAGCAACATTTTCAATCAATATGACAAACTACTTTGAATCTTTTTTTTTTTAAACACACCTGTTGGAAGATCAACCAGTTGAAGTTCATTTCTCACTAATCCCATATTGTTTGGTGTTGAGGTAGCAAAAGAAAGAAAACTGGTCAAACTTGCCCATTCAATACCCCTATAATAAGAAATTAAACAAAGATTAATTTCAAAGAAGGGTATTTAACAAATTGAAACAAAATTTCAAACAACAATAAACTTTTTGTTTGAAAAGTTTATTTGAAAAATACATTTTTCCTATGATTGAAACTTTATTACACAAGTTAATTAAAAAATAATATGACCTTTCATTTTTCACTTGATCTTTCATTTGAGACTATATTACCATACATTCCAAACATATATAATGTTATTTCTAATTAAAATTTCTGTCTCCAAATGTAAAGACAAGATAGTTTAGTTATCAGGATCATTAAAATGACTACTGAAATATGACCAGGGAGAGAGTCACATCACAGGAGTTTTCAAGAATTCCAAATGCTTAAAAAGAGGTAATGTACAAATATTTAAGCAGAATTCTTAAGGTAAGGTGTACACTGAAGAATTTTATCAGAATTCCTAATTGGTTTAGAAAGCAGAAATTCCTAAAGCAAAGAACAGAAACTGAGCTGTTAGATTTAGAAGTGGCTCCAAGTTCCAAATGATGTATCAATTAGAAAAAAGCACAAAAGAGAAAGAGAGATGTATGATAAGACAGCAACCTATAACTCTAATGCCCCGGGAGTCTCATTTATGTGGGACTGACAGTAGGTGATTACACATTTTTCCCCACTAACATAACTGGACAGTGTATATCACCATGATTTGCAGAAAATGGAAGAGAGAAGTGGGCCACTGGGACAAGAGTAGACTCATCAGAGATATGAGAAGAAGGTTCTATATAGCTTACAAGGTTACAGAGGCTGGTTGGAAGGGAAGTCCAAACCTCTGCTGCTACACAGTTGTTCACCAGCATCTGCGGGACAGCTATTTTTAAAAGGAACATATCATCGATGACTGCTTTCACAACACAACAGCAGAGCTGTGACAGGAAGTGCTATGACTTTAAATCCTAAACCTAAAATATTTACTATCTGGTTCTCTACAGAAAATGTTTACTGACCCCTGATGTATTTTATCCATTCCTACACAACTTTGCATACTATTGCTAGGTTTTACATGAAATATGGCTTTTATCATGTCCAAACTCCTCTATGTGGCTGTCGGGGCCATCCAGCCATTTGCCTCATCCTCACTAACAAAGCTTACCTCTCAATCATCTGAACCTTACCTGATACTTTACTAGAGTAACCTTCCCCACTGATCCCTGTGTACCCACATACTCATTTTTTTCTCAGAGGGGCAAACATAATCCAAAGAGAACTAAAATTATATTTACAACAGAGGGAACTGCTGCAGTTATCAAGGATTATAACTCTTTATGCATGAAGTTGCATTGAAACACTCAGATCAGGCTGCTTAAAACTGAGCACCTTTAGGAATTGCTATGCCTGGAAAGTCCTCTCTCTCCTTTCCTCTTCAAATACTATTGGAGTTCAAGTCCTGGCTGCAGCATTTACTAGCTCTGTGCTCTCTGTGCACCTGTTCCCTCTTCTGTTACACAAGAATAACAAAACTGAGTGCACAAAGAAGGCCTGGCACATAGTAAGCACTATATGTACTGGCAATCACCATCATCATTATTATTACTCTCATTTCAAGATCTAATTCAAGCCCTATTTTCTTCATGAGGCCTCCCCATTTCCTAAAGTCAAACGATACTCACAGTGAATACTATATAATGTGTTTAATTATTCACTGGAAAAGTCCCTTTCTGTTTTTCTTCTTTCTTTCCCCTAACAGTTACAATACTCATTAGTGTTTCTACTTGGAGTGAACAAAAGAGAGGAATCATTTTGGTAGTATTCTGCTCTCTATGTAAGTCTGATAGCTTCAATCAGATCTGTTTCTCCATAGAAACCCTAAGACACACCCTCCAAGTCTTGCTGCTAGCAATCTTAACTAATTATACTAATTAGTGAACTAATTAAAGTTACTATCTCTGAACCATAGGAATTCCAGTCCTCCCCCTCCTCATTCTTTATTTTTAAAAATATATCTGTTAAATACCCAGCATATGCTAGTGACTGTGCTAAGCACTGGGAATGCAGTAGTGGCCTTCTGGAGCTTGCAATCTGGCAGAACAGACACAAGTGTATTCTGTACTATCTACTACAAAAGATAGTGGTACAGAATTCAACAGGACCATATAAATGTCGCACATACTCTGGTCTCAGGGGCTAGGCAGGGCTTCCTGGGGGACCATTAAAGCTGAGACCCTAAGGGCAAATAGGCCTTTATCTAAGACTGAATGAGTAAATAGTATAAATAGAGTAAATAGAGAAACACTCACTGTGCTAGACTGTACTCTCTTTGAAGGGAGGTACTATGTCATGTCTCTCCAGGCACATGATAGGCACTTGGGAAAACGTGTTTGATTAAATGAATCCTTCTATGTTTAGCCCTCCTTCTTATGTTTATTAGTGCCATGTATATGCAAAAAGTGTTTTCCCGCTGTTTACCAGATGTCCCAGTGTACAGAATATAAGCCGCCCAGAACATGGGGTAGCTGCTTATTTGTAATCTAGCAATACGAGCATGTTGCCTTTGAACAGACTACAGCAGCAGCTTGTATATCCAATTCCTACTGAGGAAAATAAAAGTCAAGTTGGACTTCAAAGTAGATTAGATAAGGAGGGGATTATTTCTCAGAAGAAAAGAATGAGAACTCTTCTCAAACGCTGCTGAGCAACACACTGCCCTCAGGATTATATCGTGACCATCTGGGTTTAGCTGAGATCCTCCAGTAATGACTAATAAGGCCAGTGGCTCATTTTCTGACTTGATCTAGGATTTTATTTTTGTTTTTGTAGGATTCCTAATCACTAAACAATTGTAACCTTAAAATCTAATGACAGATATTTGGGGTCCTGACTCCCACAGGTTCCCAAGTTGGGCCTGTGAAGCACCTACTGGGGATGCTACAGAGACTGCTTCTCAACACTGGATGGCCAGGGGAGCACACACTTTCTCAAAGGCCTTGGAGCTCTAAGATTCTTATGCAAATTTACAGACAGACAAAATAGAGATCATTTTACTTTCCACAAATCACTCAGTTTACTCAAAGCAGTAGAGTCAACCAATGTTCTGATATCCATATAATCCATGTTATGATAATAATTTTTGACATGCAAAAGAGTCCTGGGCTATATTGTTATAAACTCAGCCTACTGAACAAAGACACAAACTAATAATACAAGAAAATCTACATGTACCATTCCACTATGTTTACTTCCAGATATCTTCCACTGTATTAAAAGCATCAAAGGCTTGGTCTGCTTAATTTGCACAAGAAAATCTAGAAAATACTGGGTTTATGCTAATAAGTTCAGAAAATTTTATAACACATCTGTGAAATTTTCATAATGACTTTAATTGTTAATACTAAAATTGCATTAATCGAAACATAAAGACAGCAAGATTTTAACATCCTCTTGGGCAGCATCTTTGAATATAAAATGTGAATTATCTTAAAAATGGCAATTAAGAGGGGAAATTCATATAAAAATGGAGATCTTTGTATAATCATTCACAACACTAGTCTGTCTGGGTAGCATATTCTTTCATAAAATGGGTAAGTCATGTATTTAGTAACATCTACAACCTGACTAATCCAATACCTCACTGACAAACTATCTATTGAAGGTTCAGAGTTCAGAAAAAAAATGACAAAGTGATCGTGTCAAATTCTTAGCGTGAAACTTGGTTCAGTCAACATTTTAATTTTATTGCCAACATGATTCCTACTAATCTATTTGTATTTTTTAGCTACAGATCTCGTACTAGTCAGTGAAGAGCCCATGCTCTGAGGCTTGAAAGGCCTTGACTGAATTCCATCTACCTCTTTCACAGATTACTCTGTAATTCTTGGTTTCTTCCTCTGTAAATTGGAAACATAATGGTGCCTACCCCATAGGGTTGGAGTGGGGATTCAATGAAATGAGGCTTGCAAAGCATTAATACTTAACATAATTCTTAGAACAAGTACTGGTTAAATGGAGAGTTTTGACTGGTTGGTGTTGGCCATAAAAGGAAACACCACACGTAAAAGGCAAGGATGAAAGGAAATGTCAAGAGAAGAAATGTAGGGGCCGGCCCGTGGCTCATTCGGGAGAGTGCGGTGCTGATAGCACCAAGGCCCCGGGTTCGGATCCCATGTAGGGATGGCCGGTTTGCTCACTGGGTGAGTGTGGTGCTGACAACACCAAGTCAAGGGTTAAGATCCCCTTACCGGTCATCTTTTTTTTTTTTAAAAAAAAAAGAGAGAAGAAATATAGACGAGAAAGAGAGGGAGAAAGAAGTTATCAGTAGTGGCACCAGAGCCTACTGGAAGAAGAGAAGAAATGTAGACGAGAAAGAGAGGGAGAAAGAAGTTATCAGTAGTGGCACCAGAGCCTACTGGAAGAAGTGCCAGAATGGCAAATTGCAAACACTGTAACAGAGGAGAAGAGAAAAGAGACGAACAGCAGCCTGAAAGAGTCTAAACAGATACCTGTGTCACTACACCTTAAAAGCCCAATGCTTTTGAAGACATTACTACTCCATGTAAATATATTTGCAGAGATATGGAGGGGCACAGCACAGATGACAATAAATAGTCACCTGGGCTGTACCACAAAACAATGAACTTGAAAGAATAAGGCAATGTAAACTTTTTGGAGATTTGCATCACATCAGAAGTTGTGATACTTAAAGGGATAACCCTTCTCCATTCAGAAAATGCATTTACTCAGAACAATGTGTTCACAAGGGTTCAATAAGAATTTTAATGTATACATAAGACCTGCAATTATATAATGTACAGAAGACCAAAAACAGCCTTTCTTATACTTTCATTAAAAGATCAAAAAATAATAGAAATTTATGTTATATATGTATAGCTTTACAATCTATCATTGATAGAGCAAAGAAGGAAAATAGCCTTGTGTTCAGCAAAATAATGCTATGGAGCAGGTATGCATGCACTTTAAAACAGAAAACAAGAGGCATTCTCTCAATTTAGCCTCTCCTGCATACAGAGCACTCATAAACAGATTATGTCTCAAACTAAGAATAAATGTCATACAGTTTCGTCCTTTTCTGACGTTGTTTAACAAAGAAATAAATAAGATTAATTAGCAATTAAAATAACTTTACTCAAATTTGTCATGAGCAGTCCTACTGATGGATCTTCATAGAAATGAAAAATAAACTAAACAAACCTGAACAAGGCAACACAATGACTTCTAGTGAGAAAATAGCCTGGACTTTAGGAGAAATAAATATGATACAGCAATAAAAGAGAAAACATTCTCCACAGCTTCTGTCCTTTACAAAGCACACAATTAGTACTAATCCTTAACACAGCCATTAGCTGTACATAAATATTTACTATTAAAAGGTTTCAGTCAAATAACCACTGCAGGTACCACTGCAGAGTATTCGATGTAGAAAAGTCTATGAGAACTTTTTTCTGATATCATGTATACCTGTAATCTACACATTGTAATAACATACTCACTTGACTTCACATGAGTGGATGCTCAACTCCTTGTGAAGCAGACCGCTGGTGAGATGGTATACCAGGACAGAACCATTACTTGTACCTACCAAAATGATGTAACAGAAGGACATTAATTCAGTGGGAGACCCAGATTTTTCCAACAAGTCTTTTCTCAAGATTTTAATCATTTTACACCATTTATCTTTTATGAAGGGTACCCTGTGCTTAAAAAAAGAATGAATTTCTCTGTCCATCCTATTATCAAAAATGAGCCTAATCTCATGTGCTCTGAAATCTTACCTAACTCCTGGGATAAGTTTTCACAATAAGACTTTAAAATCTAAATCAATACACATACAATTTGAAGATGTACTTTCCTAAGCTTTTCTACACATGGGAGTTTATACTTTGAGATTCAAAATGTTTACTGTAGGTGGTCCTCAAAGAGGCAATCTAGCAGAGCTCATTAACCAGATTTTTCTATTTTTCTTTACAAAGTTTTTGTTTTGTCTCATAGGAAATAAATCATGAGAAGACAGCAAAGTATGGTAGTCAGGTGTGGTTTCTGCAGTTGAAGAAGACTGTGTTCAAATCCTGACTCTGCTCTATACTTTTGGGTGAATACTAAATCCGTATTTTTTACCTCTTTACAATGAGAACAGAAAATCTACTTTTTGTTGGAGATTAAATGAGAAAATATAGGTAAAGCACACGGCACAGTACTTGGCACAAAGTAAGCACTTGATTAACTATAAGAATCTCTGTTATCACTGTAATTAACAGTTTGTAGTTATTATTATTCCTAAAGATTTGCATGGTCTCACATAGTTTGCCTAAAGTACAAGCAGAAGAAACATGGACATACTTGAAGTAAAATTTTGGTCTCTAAAATCTTTCTATAACTTAAGCAAGAAAAGTGAATAGTCTAATTGTTTGGAAAATCACTTTCTCACTGCATATTATTTAAAAGGATTAATGGATTGATACAAAGCAGTAGAATGAAAGTTAAAATGCAAGACAAATTCCATTTTTATCTTATTTGCTGATTAAAGCTCTAGAAATCTTTTGCAAAACAATTCTAGAAAAACACATTTACTGTTGTTTAAATTTATCATCTATTCCATAATAATACTCTTCTGGTACTGAGAAAGTTAGCTAAAGAATTAATTAAAATTTTTTAATTAACAGACTTTCATAACAATCAAATGATTTCTACATTCTGCAAGTTCTGATGATGCTGAACCTATGATCAAATACTCTAAGGGCACTATAAGAAGTAATTCCATAGCTGAACTCTGTTTATCTTCTCTAGTGGCACTATAAAACTTTTACTTTTACTTTGTTATTACGCTAAATTCAGTAAATGACAATATGCACTATATACTAGCACATTACAGCTTATTCTACAATGGATACCTCAGACGTTGACATAGCTTTTATTATACAGCTATCCCAAGAAGTAACTTCCCCAAGAAAATTTACAAAATCCTAACTGACAAATTAGGTACATTAACATTGTACATACATGTACATAGGATGTACACTGATGGATCCTAATTGAAATCTCTATAAGAGGTTAACTATGAATCAATAGCTTCTAAAGCAAAATTTAAACATTTATATAAATCTGGACACATGTATACACAGGCTATTGAATCTTAAAATTTAAATCACTTTCAGAAGATAGGCCCAATACAAAATGGCATGCACAGAAAGACTGGAGTGGTCCAAGAAAAGACAAGGAGTCTTGGATTCAGTGTCACACACGTACTATCCTCCTGATATTTCAGAAATGTATTGATAGTGTCAGAGATTCCATCGTTCAGTCTCAGGTAGATGAGTTATTATTGCAAGTAAAACTGATACAATTGGAGTAAAAAGACAAAAAATAAAAATAAAAAAATGCTTCAATACATGTGTTTATATGATTTCACTTTGCCTCTTGATCCTTTTAAAGCACCCTTAAAGGGGAAAAAAGGATTTTCTAGAAACTTGGAAACGTAATCAGCTTATAAAATGAGTTCAAAAAAGAACAAGTCAAATACTCACCAACAGCAAGCAGTGGCTGATACATCTTGATGTTTGTGGTGGTCAACGGTGGGCACATCCGGATAGCAAACTGTGGTGAGGGCAGTCCTGAAAGCAGTCCTGTCAGCAGGAATTTGAGGTGCACCTCTTGCAGAATGGAGCCTTTGGGATGTTCTTCCCCAGCAATTGCGCTTTGCCCTGATTTGTAATAAAAATATAACTCTACTAATCATAATGTATGCTGAACTTAAAAACCTAAAGAAACTTTTCAGTGGAAATGCTCTTTAGGTCTAGAAGTAAAAGTATAATGTAGCACTCTAGGCTCTGTAGCTATTAGGGCCACAATAACTGTGTATTTCACTATGGAACTTAAATTGCATCAACTAACACCTCAAAGGATGGATTACTCCAGAGTATTGCTATCTAAAATTCAGGGACCTATGAGAAACACTGTGCTAGCAAAGTTCCTGTTATTAGGGCAATAAACAGAGGCTTCAGGACAAATCAAGAATTAAAGAATAGTTTCGGTGGAGTGGGATGGTGCAACAAATTCCTATCTTACTGCCTTTCTAAAGGGTTACTTTTCAATCTGATGTACTTTGTAAAGTGCATATAAAATGGGTAATCACAAAAAGCAGGTTCAAACAACTCATTTATGATTTCAAATAAGAAACCATAATATGTCAATGCAAAATTTAAGCTTTATAATTAAATATTTTATATATAAATATATAAATAAATATAAATATATATCAATAAATAATATATATAATATATAAATTGTCACTGTCAATAGTTAAGTCTTATATGGCATTATTTTTAGATACACTGTTCATACATAGGTCATCAAGTCTCAAACTAAAAAGGATGACTCCAATAAAAATCATTCTAACAAAATGTAAATATAAAGAGTACAACAAAATCAAGACTGTTCACTAAAAAGGGTATACAAAACACTACTAAATATTAAGATTAACTTGCCAAAACTACAAAATAAAAAATATACATGTACACAGACACACATAAACATGTATATATTGGGGAAGGAAAAAATGTAAATAATTACTATGAGTGGGTGATAGGATTACAAATATAACCTATTGAAGCTGTAAAGATGTTTTAATAATAATGTTATTTCATGTCCATACTACCCAAAGTGATATACAAATTCAATGCAATCCCCATCAAAATTCCAATGACATTTTTCTCAGAAATATAAAGAACTATCCAGACATTTATATGGAATAACAAAAGACCACGCGTAGCCAAAGCAACGCTGAGCAAAA